ATAGGGATAGACCCCTCAAACTGTGCTGGTTTTGGTCAGAGTTGTCTTAAAACTTAGCTGACCTTGGAGAGTATGTCCATTAGACTAGAAACTCCCTGACAACTGGGCCAACTCACACTTGTCTCTGGGCCCACACAGGGCCTGACACAATACATTCTTGTTGAAAAAAATGAATGAGTAAAAGCTACTAACCTCCAGCCCTTCTTCTCTGCCACTAGACCATGAGAATACCAATACCTAAAATCTAGTTGCCTCTCACTAGGAGACAGGGCCTAGGAGCTCTGTGCTGCCCTTGATTGCCCTAGGCAACTCCTTTTGGGTTTTTTGGTACTTAAGAATGTACACGTCTGCCGAACTATTATGTTCTGAATTGTGTCTGAAATATGCCATCTGTCTGAAAATAATTACTACCAAATTATCCATGTAAATAGCAACACATGAATTATTTAATTATTACTAGCATTTCTACAGTGAAATCATGGGACCCCTAAAAACATTCTATAATTTGATATGGGGCTGATTTTTCATTCATGTAGTAGGAGGCATTGTCCACAGTGTTCAGTTCACTTTATTTTTTAAAAAGTCTGGCACTATGCAAGGAAACTTCCAGTTGCCTTACTTCATGGAACTCTTTTTTTTAAATATTTTATTTATTTATGAGAGAGGGGGAGGAGGGAGAGAAAACCAAGCAGACTCCTCACTGAGTGCAGAGCTGGATGCAGGGCTCGATCTCATGACCCTGAGAACATAACCTGAGCTGAAACTAAGAGTCGGACGCTCAGCCAACTGAGCCACTCAGGCACCCCAACCTCATGTAATTCTTATAACTACTCTGGGGATGGTCATCATTATCCTCATTTTACAGGTGAGAAGCTCAGGGAGACGTCATTTTCCCAAGGTCACGCAGTTAACAAACGTCGGACTTAAATCTTAAGTATTTTACCCTAGGTAGAGAGCATTTTAGTATCTTTGTAGGGCTCTTAGGTAGATGAGAAGTTATTCCACATATCCAAATCCCTTTATTTTGTTTTCTACATCTATTTCTGCTCCCTTGTAATCATAATCTGAACCTAAATTTGCTGGCTAGTCCTCATCAATTTGCATAAAGGCCAAAGAAAAACGTTTTCTAAGTAACATGGGCTACAGAGGAGTTTCTGGGGAGTCATGGAGGCTACACAGGTGGGGTGACAGAAGAGGCAGGGCAGTGGGAAGTAGGAGGCCTTTAGTCATAATCAACACAAATAAAGGACAAACCCTGTCTGTATTTTGAAGCTGAGCAAAGCTAAGGAACCTCAAGAACTGGATACCCACCTACTGCTGGGCCCTGGGAGCCCCTGAGAGGGTACTAACCACCCCCCAAACACATAGGGTTTTAGATAAGATCTGAAGGTGATTCAGGTAAGAGTTAGAGATAAGCGGTATGCTACACATTGGTTTTGGTTGGATCGGTTTTAGAAGGATCAACATTGAAGAGTGAGTGGGGGTGGAGGGACGTACAGCCAATCTATGGGAAGCAGAATGAATTCCAGCATATCCCCAGTGTTCATTTTAAACACAGTAGAGTCATAGGTCATACCAAGACATTATCCTATTTTTGAAAGAAATCCCCCTTACCCCAAACAACAACAACAACCACCACCACCAAAATAATAACACTACATCCAAACCAGATTCCTCCAAGAGGTCCAAGGCACCAATAATAGAGAAGGCAGCACTCTACATAAAAGACAACCTGGCTTGGTTTCAAAAAATATCCATCCGGCTTCAGGAAAAGAGGCCTTAAAATTTTATTTACACAGGTGCTGGCTCAGGTTTCTACTGAATCTGGCCTCAACATACTTTAAAACATGCCTCTGGCTGGACAAGGGAAACCAATGGCTGAAGAACATGGAGGATAATTTACGACCTTTGTTAGCTTTTCTCCTGGCCTATGGCTGTGGACCTGCTTACCAGGGAGGTCAGACAAGTCTTGAGGATGAAGACACACAGAAAGCTCGAACACCTTCAAGTCCAAAGCCTGGAAGCCAGGAGATGCAATGAAACATATGCTTGCTTAGCTGTCTGGGGAATGTTACACACAGTGCCCTGGAAGGCAAAGAAGGAAGGAAGAGACTAACCTTTGCTATATTCTTATACAAATACTATTGGCCCTTCTGATCAGTAATTAAGTAACACTGAAGAGGTGTGTGTGTGTGTGTGTGTGTGTGTGTGTGTGTGTGTGTCCGGGAACCTTACATTAACCAGGGGACTACCACAAATACCATTTCCCATCTTTCCTTTCTGGCTACCCAGAGGACACCATAAGTGTATGCGTGCCAGTGACTAAGGCTTCACTCCAGGAGAAGGGACCAAAACTTACTGGGCACCAGGAGCTGTGTTACACATCATTTAGTTCTTACAATAGCCATGTGAGCTATTACTCTCCTCACAGAAACACAGAGAAGTTAAGTGACTTGGGACTGAACTCAGGTCTACCCATTTCCCATGGCTGATGCATAATAAAGCGAACCACTGACAAAAGGACACATCTGTAGTATCCATAAGATTTTAGATATTTATTTTAAATATTTAGATTGTTATAGATTTACTGTTAAATTCTTCAAAACCATACAGTCCAACCACTTTATTATTCAGATGGAGGTTTTGGGATGCAAAGATGGAATGAGACATGCCTAAGGCCTCATGATAAGTCAATGGCAGAACCAGAGGCCCTCTGGCGCTCTTGCGTTGCTTCTTGTTCCACTACCTAGACAGCAGCCTACTTCCAAAAAGCTCAGAGATTAGAGTAGAACAGGAATGCATAGCTCGGCATGGGGTGGGGCAGGCACAAAAGGCTGACTAAAGGCTGGTCAAGGGACCTGCTGCATGTGATAAAGGGAACTTAACCACCTCTGCACTGTATAATGTTTCCCAAATAAGCCTCTTGCTTTCATGTAGTCCTGTCTTTGGTTAGTCTGTTCCCTCTTCCTGAAGTTCCCTTCCTACCTTTTTGTACCTAGCAAATTATTATGCATCCCTCCAGACCTAAATCAATCCTTAACTTTTCTGTGGAGCCTTCTCAAATGTTCCAGGTAAAACAACTCATGCTATGAAACTCTCCCCGCCCCCCCAAAAAATCCATACACATTTATACACATGAGACCTTGCAAGAATCTTCATACCATAAAACGTCTCATAGAGCCCTTCTACTATAGACTAGCATTAGTACTCGTTCCCCTGCTGAAGGGAAAAACATATACTTAACAAAGATGCTCTTACACGTGGTAGAAGCAGAGGGGACTCACAGGGGCTGAGCACTTTCTGGGAGCCAAGGGTTGTTCTAAATGTTTATTTTGCTGCCTCACATAATTCTTAGGGGTTTCAAGGTAACAATCTCTGTGACTCTACCAATTGGCTGTGAGGCCAGAGAGCCCCTCAGATAGGAAACAAGAAATCTCCAGGAAGCCCTAATTTCTGCCAGTTATATGTTCTGTGAACCTGGAAAAGCCATTTCCTCTCTCAGCCTCAGTTTCCTTGTCCATAAAATGGCTTGGTCAGATTTTTAGATTTCTGTTTCTTTTCTTCAAGTTTTAAAAGATTAGCATTTTAAGAGCCTGTGACTGCAGGCACTGCAAATCTTTTGTCTTTTCATCAAACAGCAATTTTAAAAGACAACAAGACTTTGTGACCTTCTACCTCTGTCCTAAAATATAGCATTTTTTTTGTTTTTGACATCCAAGGGGAGGAAAATAAATTTCTTTTGTTCCTGGCCCCATGGAAAACATTCTGCGGTACATTCTGAGAAGGCTCAAAGCCAAGGGTCAAGGAATCAGGCCTCTACCATTTGTATGCATATGCTCTGTCTCTGAGCTCTTCCCTTAGCTTGTTAATGAACAAAATTCTCTTGCGAAAAGGTTAACACCTTTTATGCTTTCTGTTCTGTGACTGTGTGATGAGAGTGAATTAAAAGCCAGCAAGGCTGGTTGTATCAGAATCAGAATTTTCCTTATGAAAAGTAGGAGGTGGTGAAAGCAGTATGGCTCGCATCTCCCTCGCCTTACCTGATGAAGAAGCTGCTGATGAGCCACCAGCTCTTTTTAAGTATTTGGCGCTTTCTTCGGAAGACAAGCTCCTGTCAAGTTAGTGCTACTCAGTGGCTCCTTGGTTTCTCCCCACAATACTTATGTCTTTCTTAACTTCTTTCTGTCATTTCTGACTCTGTTGTTCCTCTTCACTGTTGCTTTTCTTGTTTGCCTAGGCATAACCCTTTCTTTCTACTTTGGGTTAGTATGTTTTTATATTTGAGGGGCAGCTGCGCTATAGCAGAGTGACTTTGGACTCAGAACACCTGGAATCAAATTCCAGCTATTCCATTTATGATCTGTTGATTAACTGGCAATGCCTCAGTTTGCGCTTATGTGGACAACCACAAGGATGACTTTGCCTTCTGTCCCAGATGATTGTGAAGTTCAAATGAGCAGTGAATATTGTGGCCCTGCATTCATTGAAGAGATTTAAAGATGTCCAGGATCGGGGCACCTGGGTGTCTCAGTCAGTTAAGCATCTGACTCTTGATTTCGGTTCAGGTCATGATCTCAGGGTCACGAGATGGGAGTCCCGGGTCAGGCTCTGGGCCAGGTGAAGAGCCTGCTTAAGATTCTCTCTCTCTCTCTCTCTCTCCCTCCCCTCCACTTGCACATGCATGCTCTCTCTCTCTCTAAAAAAAAAAAAAAAAAAAAAAAAAGATTTCCAGGATTATGGTCACTAAGCTCTTTGAGGAAAGCTCTATATCTTGAGTATGTGAGCCCAATACCCCACATGTAGTAAGCACCCAGTAAATGTTTACTGGCTGAATGCACGAGCAGATTACTACCAGGCCTGTTCTTATGAGGCATTCAGTAGAAGACAGGCCCTAGTCTAGCTAGGAGCTGAGGAGATTCCACTGCGGTGCCCTAGGAACTGCAACAAAGCCTGGAAGCAAAGGGACTGAGAATTCTAATATTTATTCCCTTTATAAAGATTCATTCACCTCCCAAATCTGTTTCTTCTTTTGTATAGGAGGAAGTTTCTTCTTCTCTACACTCTTCTGGCAGGTACAAGCTCACCTGCTTACTTGAAATGCTGAGAGCCGTTGCCTAGCCATGAAAAGGAGTGTAGACACCTGAATAATAGGTTCCAGAAGTATGCACACATAGCTATTATAACTGAAGAGATTGTTTGGTGAAATAATGGCTCATCACAGAGTTCGATCATTTTGACGGATAGTGTGTTTCTTGCTATGGGACTAGAGGCCACAGAAGTAAGAAATAACTCTTACCTTTGGAGAAAATGAGGTTCTAACATTTACCCTTTCAACAGAAGCCAAACTGCAAAGATCTACCACACACAGTTTCACAATTACCAAGAGATTCTGTGAAGGAGAGGAAAAAAAGTTCTGGCTAGAGTATATGGGCTTTAAAAATATAACAGATAGGGGAATAGTAACACAAGGTGGAAAGCAGGCAATGGATTCAGAGGATCTTGCAAGTGACATAGCAACTTCTTGTTAATCATTACTTCATAAAATGTACATGCTATAAATAAACAGGCACAGAGCACTATATAACAGCAATGGCAAATTTTTTTTTGAAATTTAGTTTTTTTAAGATTTTATTTATTTATTTGAGAGAGAGAGAGAGCACACAAGAGGGGGTAGAGTCAGAGGAAGAAGCAGACTCCCCGCTGAGCAGGGAGCCCGACGCGGGACTCAATCCTGGGACTCCCGGACCATGACCTGAGCCGAAGGCAGTCGCTTAACCAACTGAGCCACGTGGGTGCCCAGCAATGGCAAATTCTTGACATAGCTCCCAAACTGGGCACTAATAAGAGACTTGAGTGGATATCAACTGCAATGCGTTACAGAGCTAAATTATTTATTCTGAAGGCCTGTGGTCTAGTCTTGTTATGGGGACAACCAGAATTAAGCCAGCCAATGTGTAAAGACAAAGAATTATGGGGCAATATATGGCAGATCCATAACTCAGCTGACCACCTGGGCTCTGCTTTCTATCAGAGAGTTTTTCCAAACCACTTAGTATCAGATAGTCTCCAAAGTCCTTCCTCTTTACCATCTGGGTTTTATGTGGCATCAAGCAAAACTCATTCATATATATTTCATAGCTATCCACAAGCTTACAGTGCAAAAGTCTAGAAAACATATGAAATATTTTCAATTTCTGTGTATTGTAAAGGGGAGTGAGCTACTAGATCATTAGAAAAAATGTGTCCTCTTCTAGCATCCCTATATTAATTTACATTTTTCTGGTTTACTAAAATAATGCTCAAGACCCAGAGGCCACCAGACCAGGCATTCTGGACAAACAAGACATGCAAACTTTGGCCACTCGGAAGAATGTTTAAAATTAGATAATCTAGAGAGTTACTAAAAAAAAGTGAAATTTACTATGCAGATTTGCAAGCATAGGAGTGACCATCTAAAGCAGGAGTCAAAAACTATAGTCCACAAGCCAAACCAGTGTGCCATTTGTTTCTGTGTGGATCAAGAGCTGAGAATGATTTTTAGATTTTAACTGGCTGAAAAATATCAAAAATATATATATATATTGAATGGCATGTGAAAATTAATTGAAAGTCAAGTTTTATTGTAATACAGCCACACCCATTAGCTTATGTTACATATTGTCTAGGGCTGCTTTCAGGCTACAAAGGCAGAGTTAAGTAGTTGAGTCAGAGACCATATGGTCCACAAAGCCTACAATATTTACTATCTGGTCCTTTACAGAAAAATTTGGCGGACCCCCTGATCTAAAGTCTGGCTTTGACATTTAGAAAAACCCGAGATGGATAAAAGATAAGAGGAACTTTGTGAAAAGTTATCTAGGATCGGTGCAATCAGGATCAGTCAATTTCTTGGCCAAATATACCTGATCAAGGCTCTGTTGAAGCTGCAAGCAGATCTTTCTAGCATACTTAATTTGTCCCTGGGAAATGTTACTCAAAAAGCCAGGGAGTGAAGAGGACACTGAAAGACACGAAAAACTCTCTGCAAGACTCCAAACAAGAAGTAATATTCAATTCCACATGAGTTGAGGTGGGAAAGAGTGGATTTAAAGGACAGAGAGAGTTCAATGAGGGTTCACTTACATTTCTTCCCTCACAAAAACCTGGGGTGAGAGAGGGAATCAAAGCCATACTTATATAAAATTCGCCAAGAATACTAAATTGGGACATATTGTAAACATCAGTGACGATGGTGTAATTCTTTGAGTCCAGAATGTAAACTACAGTTTCAATTTTATGATGTGTACCAAACAGCACTCCATGTGTACAAAACAAATGGATGTACAATCTCCAACGTTTTACTAGAAAATGTCTGAAAAATAGTAAATTCTTGAGCACACAGAGCACATGATGAACTAATTAACCCTCTTTGAAACATGATGTGGTAGAGATGGGGATTTATGTCCTGATTGTCCAGATGAGAAAATGGAAAAGAAAGGAAGTTATCCAACTATGGTCACAATGCTGGGGGAAGGGGGAATCTCGGAGTCCTGAATTTTAACCTAGCCCATCCATAGTGCACTTTCTCACAGCTGGCTCTATCCTCATCTGAAAATTGATTTTTAAAAGAATGGGAGCTAGGGTTCACCAACTGTCAGGAAGGCAAAATCAAAAGTGCATATAGGTAGAAACACATGTTTGTTTGCTAATGTAATAGTTTTGACAGTGATGATGTATATAATTTGTAGAACCATCATAAAAAGTCAAAGCTAGAAAGGCATATTAAAAATATTTAGGGGCGCCTGGGTGGCTCAGTCTATTAAGCATCCGGCTCTTGGTTTTGGCTCAGGTCATGATCTCGGGGTCATGAAATCGAGCCCAGCATCGGGCTCCACGCTGGGCGTGGAGCCTGCTTGGGATTCTCTCTCTCTTCTCCTTCCCCCCACTCAAGCTCACACTCTCTCTCTAAAAAAAAAAAAAAAAAAAAAAAAATCTAGCTTAAGTCCCTTATTTTACAGACAGAGAAAATTGAAGTCTAAATAGGAAAATTAATTATTCAAAGCCAGACAACTAAAACCCCTCTGAGCCCATACTTCTGTGTATGGGCATCACCTTCCTTTGATTTCCTGGCCTTTTAGATGGCATTCAACATGCCTTCCCTTGTCACCTCCCTGCTCATCCCATCACCCCACCAACTAGCTGATTCTCCTTATGCCTGTTTCTAGCCCGCAGAACATCCTCCAACTGCACGAGCATGTATGCACATGCGCACACACAGACACAGACAAACACTGAGTTTTCATCAGCCAGATTTTAGTGATTTTACCCCCATGGCCTAGCATCATCATTTTTTTTTTAATCTCAAAATATGCAGCTACCTCCCTGACTAGCCTAATCGTCACCCCAAACTCTCAGAATCACTGACAATGAGAAAATGTGGGGCTCCCTCCTCTTCCTTCTCAATAGGAAAACCTGGCTAGATTACAATTGACTCTGTGCTGAGCCCTGCACCAGTGACAGCATTAAAACCTCATGCTTTATGAACTACCAAAGCTAGAAATGGATTTCTGTCTGACGTGCCAGGCTTTTAAGTCTTGTACCTGTGCCCAGTCTAGAGATTTCTGAAACCATGAATAAAGTGGTAATCAACACTCTGAATACTCAGTCTGACTTAACTGACAACTAACAAATGAGGAAAAGAAAGATTTGTGTTCCCACTCTCTCCAAGACAGGTGGAATTCCAAGTTTCAACAAGGCAGATTCAGAATCACTTTCATAAAGGCCATTGGGGTGATAAGGACACATTGTAAAAATGGGAGAAAAAAACAAATCAATAAATGTTCTCTGTGGATAATAAGACAGCCCCTTGCCTTCAAACGGAGATAATGACAGAAGTAAACTCCAGCCAACAAGCTTTACAGGTGGGAGGAGAAAGAAAAATGCCTTTTTTTTTTTCTTTTTTGCTTTGCTTTGTTTTTCGTGTGTGTGTGTGTGTGTGTGTGTGTGTGTGTGTGTTTAACCACCTTCTATCCCTCAAAGGACTCAGGACTGGAACCTGGGGTTCATATTCCAAAGGAACCAAGGGGTTTGTAGCCTTTTAAGAAATCCATTTGTGGCTTTCTGTATTTTAAGCAGTCGAGAGTATTTGGCCCCATGAGCTCAGAGGCTCATTTTCTCAAAGAAAATATTACCAAGTTTCCCTAACTTAAGCAATTCTAGGGTCTAGAGCATTTTGAGATCTTGCTGGATTTCCCAGTATTCTGTATGTTGAGTGAGTACCCCTTTCCGCTTCTTTATTCTCAAATAGCACAAGACCCACATCTAGCCCAGCTCCTCCCAGGAAACCCTGACAACTGCCATTCTGCCCTTCTCCCTCCTTCAGCCCTAACTTCGGCAGAAAGCTCCCATGTGGGATATGTTATGACAGCAAAATAGTCCCTTTTACAATACGTTTGATCACTTTCCCAGTTTTCCAAAAATAACAATATTGTGACCCAGATTTGTAAAGTCCAGAGGCAGCATCAACTACAATCGAATCGATCTGACTGTTGAGTTTGCTTGTTCAGTTGCGTACTTGAACTCTTTCCCCAACTGATACGGCTGCTATTACTGGGTGCCTGGGCTTACTGACCCACTATCCCTAGATGAGGGCTCTGGTGTGTTCTCTGCTCTACGGGCAGGGCCTACTGGATGCTGGAGTTGGAGGAGGAAGCACATTCTCACTGGGGAAACTGGGGGGGGGGGATCTGCTGTCTTTGGGCTGTTCCTCACTTTCTTTTCTGACAGCCATCCTTCTGTAAGTACTCTTAAGAAAGGCAGGAACTGCTTTCTGTGTCTCTTTCTAAACTGCCCAGGTCTAGGTACTGGGGCCCTGGACCTTATACTAGCTCAGCACAAGCAGTAGCAATAGGCCACTTGGGGGTAGGAAGGAACATGCATCATGTTTTCAGTAACACTAAAAGCTAGCTGTCTCCTTGTTGCTTTGGGGACTGGAAGAAAACAAAATAACAATTTTCTGTTTTGTAAGTATTCCTGCCACCAGTCTAAAATGATGAAAAGGCAACCATTCCAATTGGCTGTCAATGGGAAAACCAGTAAAGGACCTGCTTTGCACCTTTTATCTAAAGGCTAAGAACTGCTTGGAGCTTCTGTTGTCCTCTGGTGGATGTTTCCGGTGAAAGGTGTGGCTTATATACCTGCCACTTTTAAGAGTGTCCTCAGGGTTTGGAGCCCTTAACTAAGGCAAGACTGTTTTGGTTCTGACTTGGAACTCAACACCTCTAGGCCAGTGAGAGAGAAGGAAAGGTTTTGGCAGGAAGTATTTCCTTTGTGGAAAGTGGAAATAGGAGTAGATACTGGTGTTTGGCAACTGGGTTTGCCCCCAGAGCAGAGCATCTCTGTCTAGGGGCTGCTTATCAGTGTCCCCTTGAGAAAAGAAGCCCTTAGTACAGGATGGGGAATGAAAAGGATGAGTAGGAGGTCTGAGCCCAGGTTGATTGGGAAGGAAGGAATCACTAGCATATATGGGAAGTCTGGAAATGGCAGTTCTTGCTGTAGCATGTAGGCTGAGCACCTCTAGGAGCTGATCAGACATGAATGGTTCTAAGCTAAATAAGACTAAGGAGCCAGGGCTTGAGCCTGCTTAGCCAAATATAAGATGCAATTTAGCATGAGGTGCTATACCAATGGATAGGCCCTGAGGAAAAGTCCATGGAGAGAATAAAGGAGTTTTTATCACTCGGGCTCCCTATTTACCTAGGGGCTATTGATGCAAAGAAGTCCCAATGAGCCAGCAGCAGGAGGGAGCAGGCGCCCAGACTGATGGTCTGCTGAACAGCAAGAACACTTCCTTTCTGGGGCTGAGGCCAAGGAGACTTTGTGAAGGAACACTCCCATATACACTATAGAGAATGGGTGGGGACTCAGTTGGGGTTTCTCCACTTCTAACTTCTCTAATCAAGACATTTTCCCCCCTCACTACACAGCAGAGTGAAACACAAACAGGGAAGGAGTTAAAACTTTTCGAATCATTAATTTTCTTCCATTCCTAAGACTGCCCCAAGCTCTAAGCACCAGATAGGATCACCGTCATTGACTACATTGCCTGTACTACCAAGGTTGCCAAAACCAGGGGACCAGCAAATTAGAAAAAAACAAAAAACAAAAACAACAACAACAACAAAACCTTCTTCTTTAGGTTTTTAGGTTCTTTGAGAGGGTCCCACCAGTGACCTTGTCTCTGAGATGATAAAATCCTGGGCTCTGGAAGATTGGTGTCTTTCTATAGAAGATAAAGGAGAGAGGGAAAAAGAAGTGAGTGTGCAAGACCCTTTACCTTCAGCGGCTCTTTTAAAGAAGACTTTGCAGCTTCCACAAGTGAGAGCTCCATAGTGACAGCCAGAAGCTTCATCACCGCAGATCAGGCAGGTCTTCTGGGGTGGAAAGTAATAGTCAATGGGTAGAACATGGTCCCTGGCAGTCTCCAAACTGAAAAGACACATGAGAAACAATGCAATAAATGGCAGTGGCTGGCAGAGATAAGAGCACAGAAGTCTGAGGTCTTCAGGAGTAAACTTACATGTGTAAATTATTAATTTTTATAAAATAAAATTATTCCTTACTTAATTGAGTCAGTGTGAAGCTGATTTTTCTGGTACTTCTAGGGATGATGTTTGTAGGGTTTCCTGTCATGTAGACAGAGCCTTTTTGCATCCTGCTAAGGAATTCAAGAAGTTCTCTGGGATCAGCCAGTCTCATGGGCTAAGTTTACATGAAGGAAGGATGAAGACAGAAACCTGAGGTTAAGGTATCTAACTTAAGGTGGTTCTGGCAAAAATTTCAGAGCAGTTAAATGGTATGAGCCCAGCTCTATGGCCTTCCCTTATCCAAAAGGAGATCTAAGGCAAAACAAGTCTTAACAAAACAGTTTGGCATGCTGTGCTCTGAGCCTCACTCTCACCTGTCAATAATATTGCCCATCCTACTGAGCTACTGTTCTGAGTGGTAGTATAAATTGTATAAAAGGATAAAAATCCTTTAAAATGAATACACAAGTGAGGGATCACGATTCATGTTATCATACCAGTCTGATTTGGTCTTCCCCTGCCCCCCATTCCTTCACTTTCCTTAGCCATCTCTCGTAGATCACGTGAACATCCCCTCACCATTCTACAACACAAAGTAGCAGAATCCTTATCTTCTTAAAGATTTTATTTATTTATTTATTTATTTGACAGAGAGAGACACAGCGAGAGAGGGAACACAAGCACGGGGAGTGGGAGAGGGAGAAGCAGGCTTCCCGCTGAGCAGGGAGCCTGATGTGGGGCTCGTCGATCCCAGGACCCCGAGATCATGACCAGACATTTAACGACTGAGACACCCAGGCGCCCCTGGCAGAATCCTTATGGCTGAGGCTCTTGTTGGGAAATGATACACAGGGATGCTGGAAATTTCTCACACTACCATCTCAACACTTGGCCATTAAAATACTCATAGGGTCTTTAGGCTAGGATGGAGTTTCAGGGGTCACCTAGTCTAAACTTCCTATTTCTTCTAAGCATAGGTCACATTTTTTTCTCTCTGATGCCCTATGTCTAAGCATTGAACAAAACTCGAGGGGGGCGCCTGGGTGGCTCAGTCCTTAAGCGTCTGCCTTCGGCTTGGGTCATGATCCCAGGGTCCTGGGATTGAGCCCCACATCAGGCTCCCTGCTCAGCGGGGAGTCTGCTTCTCCCTCTCCCACTCCCCCTGCTTCTGTTCCCTCTCTCGCTGTGTCTCTGTCAAATAAATAAATAAATAAAATCTTTAAAAAAAAAAAAACTCGAGGGACCTCCTGGGTTAATCTGCCTAAGGTAGATGACAATTGCCCATATTCTCATCTACAGGAATGCAGCCATATTTTTTTATGAGCACTTTTTCCTTACTAAGGAAGGAAGGAAAATAAGCCTTAATGACAGCCTACTTGCTGTGTTGGGTGATTTCTACACTTCAAAACAACTCTGAGAAACATTTTTTTTTTTCTCATTATATCATATGAAGAAAGATTCAGAGAGGTGAAACCCCAAATGATTTGACAGCAAGCCCAGGATCTCTGGCTCCGAATCCAATACAGTTTTCATTACCTTATCATCTTCCTGCCATTCTCTCACTTTCTACACATGGCTCTTTGATTATCATGCTCAGCATAGTCATCAGAATCCAAAAAATAAATAATCCAAAAAAGCATGAAATGTTATCCACCCCTCAATAACCATGGATCAGCCCTGGCAGGGCAAGAGCAAAGAAAATTTTTGCTTAAGCCATAGCTGACAAGCACTTTACCTCTAAGACACAAATATTAGCCTTTATTCAAGTCCCAAGTACAACAGAAAGCACTCAAAAAGTTTGGCTGATATGCAAACCCAGCAGCTGGCTACGGTGGCCTATCTTTTCCCCCCGACAAGCTCTCCTTTTCCTAATTTGACTTCGGAAAGCCAGCAGGAGTTTGTCCCCCAAACCAAGACTAGCAGGACCACAAGTTCCACAGGAAAATAGCTCACTTCCCATATATAAATGGGCCAAATGTTAAGAGCATCATTCCTTTGGCTAAAAATGTCATTTCCTTGGGTAAAAAATGTATCCCCATCCTCATTCATGAAACAAGGAGAAGCAGAAGTTTTTTGTTTTTATTTTTGCAAGTGTCTTCATCCTTTTCCCTCTTTTTTTGACTTCTGGAACTAATGAAAGCCATTCAAATAAAGTAAAAAAAAAACACAAAACATGTATTTAGGCACTTTATGTACCCTGCCATTTCATATATATCATCTCACTTAATCTCCCCCCAAAACCCTGCCAGGTAGCTCCGTATCATCTCTATATTGTAGGAAGAGGAAGCTGATGTTCAGGAAAATTGAACATGTTCAAGATCACTCATCTCATAAGTGGGAATGCCAGATTCCATCCTAGGTAAGTCTGACTCCAAAGTGCCGATTCATAACCCATGACTAACCATGTTATAAAATTGAAGGTTGAAATTAGATTGACTCAACTCCTAGCACCTAGCCCTATGAACCAAGCAAAGGGCTAGGTGCTGGGGATATCATGACAATCGATATATTATTCTTGCCTCTAAGAAACCGACTATCTAGTAGAGAAGACAGACAGGAAGCAAGAAACTGTAAAATAACATAGTAGATGATATAATAAAGCAGAGTACAGATTGCTGCAGATGAGGAAGCACCTTAAAGACACGAATGTTTCTTGGAAGGTATAAAGGTATATACGGGTAAATGAGATGACGATGATAATGACAATAATTTTTATCATATGATTGGAAAATAAATATTAGATATACAATATGGAAACCTGCACAAATAAGAGGTCTTTTTGAAAAGAGCCTTTAAGGAACAGAAATTTTCATCCATTTTAAAATACAGTTCAAATTGTTCAAAATAATCTAATCAAATTTATAATCAATGCTTAAAGACTGAAGAAAGTCATCAATATTTTATTAGATATAAGTTTAATAAAATGCACTATTTACAAAAATAACTATAAAGGAGGAGGAAGAAGAAAAAGAAATAATAAAGACAATTTTAGAATCTGAACTTTTCCTAATTACAACCCATTTTGACTAAAGGATATCTGTTAAACTCTCCAGGCTGGTGTCTGCCTACCTACCCCTCCTTTTTCTGGCAAAATATTTTGGATAGCACTCTCACTGAGCCTGGCCTAGGGTGGACAAAAGGCACATTTCAGTTCTGCCTCATGGGCTGAACTTTGGGTATTGGAAATGAAAATTGCAACCAGAGTCCCTATCCCAGGTTTATATCCTAGAGAAACTCATGCATATTTGTACCGGGAAGCATGTGTGGGAATGGTCATAGCAGCTTTATTTACAAAAGCAGAAATGATAAACATCCACTAAGAGGGGGCGCCTGGGTGGCTCAGTCGTCAAGCGTCTGCCTTCGGCTCGGGTCCATGATCCCAGGGTCCTGGGATCGGGCTCCCTGCTTGTCGGGGAGCCTGTTTCTCCCTCTCCCCACTCTCCCCTCCCTGCTCCCCCCTCCCCCCTCATGCTCTCTCTCTCTCGCCATCTCTCTCTCAAATAAATAAATAAAAATCTTTAAAAAAATCCACTAAGAGGAGAAAGGATAAATTACATCACGCTCATTCAATAAACCACAATTCAGCAATGACAAGAAAGAGAATACAGGTACACATAGGTAAATCTCACAAGCTAATGTTGCATAAAAGACATAAATCACAATAGCCTACATATGATATGATTCCATTACATACAGTTCCAAAAAAAAGGCAAAAGTAATCAATATATATTTTGGGAATATATATCTATATCTATGTCTATATCTATCTATCTATCTATCTATCTATCTATCTACATAGTAACATATTCACGCAAGGGAGTAATAAACCCCAAATATAGGATAGTGGTTATTTCTAATGGGAGACTGTGGTTAATGATATAAGGAAGGAGGATACAAGCTGATTTATGCATTCATTTAAAAATATTAAGTGTCTATCACATACGAGGCACCATACCAGGTCCTGGAGTTAGAGCAGTAAACAAACAAAAACTGGTTTTAATGTTCTTATTCTTTAATCAGGGCTCATGAGTGTTCATTTTATTATTATGCTGTATAACTAACTTATATGATACACGCATGCTTTGTATGGCTGTAACAGCACATAGTGAAAGAAAAAATAACAACCTGAGAAGTTTCTAACATCATCCTAAATAACAGCCTAAGTGCAAGAACAGCAGAGGTTTGCTTTGAGAACAAGTAAGTTCAGAATTTGCATGCGACATCTGTATTTCTTCTTGCCTCCCCTGGGTTCCATGCTCACTTATTATACCTATGCAGGACATTCAGCTTTATGAGTCTGAAGGAAAAGCACTGCCATAAAAAATGGAAGTTTCCCAAACCAGAATACCACTTGCTTTTCCTCAACAGTTCCACAATTAATTAAATAAAAGTGGATTACTATAAGCTATAGGACTACAAATGCCAGCTCAACTATGGGGAATTTAGGCTCAGAAATCTTCAGCACCGAGCTATCATGTCAGTCTGTCTCTCAGACTTGAAAATACATTAAAGTGTCTGACTACTTTAAGCAAGTTCCCCAAGGATTGTGGAACCAAGGTGAGATGCAAAAGTCACAGACTAGTTTTCCTTGTTTGGAAGATGAATGTCAACTCAGCAGGGCTTTGGAGCCCGGCAGAGCTGGGCTGGAATCCTGCATCCACCACTGAACCTTGGTCCCAGTCATTAAGGCTCTCTGAGCTCTATTTGTCTCATCTGGAGATTGGGGATACTTTCTAACCTAAAGGGCTTTTGTGAGAATTACATTAAATAGTACATGTTAAGCCCTTCCTCCTGTGCCTGGCACATGATAGCTGCATTGTAAGTACAGGTTGCCTTCACCTTTTGCCTTACCATAAAAAAGGGGGAGAAATGTCTAATAACCTTACAATAAAAAAAGATCAT